CAGGTGTTTTCCTATGGAACACATGACAGACCGCGACAGCAGAGTAAGAAATTGTGGTGTACCGCTTTGTGCCTTCCTCGGCAACAAGAGGGAAATGGTTGCCCACCRCGAAGAAGACGTGAATCACAAAGCCTTATTAACAAAGGCACATCGTCAATTGGTGAACGACGTTAAAAACAAGGTATATTAAAATACTATGCTGCCTATCTATCTTATTAYATCATTCAATTAGGCTAAATTGGTATTTATATGCCAGAAGAAGCCTCTAAAGAGTACGCAAAAGAGGTCGTTTGCGTGTGGTCGAAATATTGGAAGACAGAGAATTTCCAATCCCACGCCAGACGCGCCAGCTCCCGGGGAATCCCGCTAACGAGCGGGAACTTTAGGAAAAATGGCCATGTCTGGAGGTTGGTCTTCTTTACAGATGAACTTGAGATATRCCTCCAGCTTGTGTCTTCGCAAGAAGAACCTCAACACATAAAAGCAACGTAAGTGACCTTTGTATTACCTTCCTTATATGTTTTATTTATATGTGCAAAATATTATGCTTTTTTGGAGGGCGTTGGCCAGTAAGCATAATCGTCATTAATGTAAAAATCTTTAACACCATTTCTTTTGCCCGCATGAAAAATGATCGTCCCCTAGAATACAGTAAATCTTGTATGCATGCGAAAGAATGAAAACCCCCGAGCTCAAATTATTCTCAAGCCGAAAATTAATCTCAAATTATTCGGCATGCCCTTTCAAAAACTTCAACATTTTCTTTTTCATTTCAGGATCGCAGTTGAAGATTGTGGTTATTCTTTCCCATCAGTGATTTTGTACGAGCATCAGATGGTTGGCGGGAAACTCAATGATTCTACAAAGTGTCTCGAGGTGGAGGTTAAAGTCGTAGTCACTAGCTACGAATACCGGAAGCAGGTGAGCTGATTACAAAGGAATAACGATATTTTGAATACACTGTATTTATCCTAAAAAAAACCAACTGGATGTTTTTAGACAAAGGTGTTTATTTAATACTTTGAAAACTGCACCTTCTTTTGATTGATTGCAATTGTCATTTCAATATGGTACACTTAAGCAGGGCGCAGTTCGATACGACAATGCTATTTATCAATTAAAGAAATAGCTTTACAGTGAAGGGGRACATAAAAGAACCTTTTGAGTTATTCTTGTAAGAGGAGGGGATTGTCCCCCGGTTCAACAGCCTATTCCAATTTGGAGGCATAAACACTAATGTACTAACAAATCACTCATGATTGTAAGCTGCACGGCTGCTAATTGCGCCTTAATAGATGCAGCCCGTAAAGTCCTACACTGGTCATAAATGTAAAGCGTATTGAGACGTTGTATCAATGCGCTATATAAGTACCTCCTATTATTATCCTTATTATTAAAACTTGTGAAGTAATAAGTGTACCAAAATTTTTTGTTTGGTTTTTGTTTGCTCTTAGAAGACCGATGTCTGCAAACCGGCCCAACTTGAAGAACCCATCTAAAAATGGCCATATAAGGTAAGGTAAATATCAGAGTACTACGCGATAGTGTTAAGAGATAGCAACACTTTTTGTGTGCATTATTCACAGAACCGACAAAGTACTCGCTGCAATAGAGATGACCTCTGTAATAACTATCCAAATGCCTGTGATACTGTAATAACTATCCAAATGCCTGTGATAC